TTTGCTCTTTTCTTTCTTCTCGGCAGGCAGATAGCAAAAATGGCTGCCGGATGTCAAAGATCTTGTCCGCCATCTTGCCCTTAAGATATGATTTGGGGCAGGAAACTGAGGCCTGGAGTTTGTCCCCTGCAGTCCCTTCCAGAGCTTCCCAGGCTATAAAACAGAGTCTAAAAGGCAGTAAGCTGGTGAATGTGAAGAGACAGATTTACATTTCCTTTCTGTCTGTCCAGCTACTTTTAGATATTGGGAAAACAGAACCTGGCAGGGTGCCTATCAGCAGAGAGAGGGAGGGGGAAGAGCACACACTCACAGGATTGATCTCTAGCTGTTACTGGGGAAATTGTGGGATGAGATATTTTCCTGTGATTTTTCATAAGGCCGCCCTTTCACATTCCTCCCTGGGGTACGAGGGGGTGTACCCCTGACCGCTGCGTTCTGGGATCAGGTCTGAGGCAGAGGACTGAGAGCCTCACCGTTCTGGAAGGTCTTGAGTCACTCTGTCTGCAGCATATACCTTCTTCTGCCCTCAGCTGTGCCTTAAGCACCCAATCTCCAGCTCAATTTCTCCAGAAAACAAAGCCAAATTTTTCCCATTGCTCATGGAACAGTGGCAGAGGGGTGGTTACTCAGATCTTTAGAGTGGGCGGGCGGGTCCTGGTTGTTTAGCAGCTCAACATGGAGTCTTTCAAAGAGCTCACCTGCTTATCACCACCTAACCCCAGCTGACCCCTGCACAAACTCCCTTCCAATTCTGAGTTAAATCAATCTCCTACCTGCTTTCTGTCATTCCCCCAATTTATGAAAATATCTTAACTTCTGTTTTTCCCTTTTTCATTTTCATTCTCTTTGCCTGTGGGTTAATGACTTTTTAAAAATTTCCCTACTGGTTTTTAAATTGGGGTTTTGGAAGGAAAAGAAAGAGAAACAGGTTTGATCATGTCTCCATGCATCACTCTAAGTCCAGGCAAAAGATTTCAATTCATAAAACAAAAACATAACACAAGAACTCAAAATGAAAGAAAGTCAACTTATAGCCACACCAGATGAGGGAGGCAAAAACCTACCCGTGTTGCCCAAAGTGAGCCTGACCCCTTATAGCCCTCGTCTTCTGGGAGATGAATCTTTACAACCTTCACTCAACAGGAAAACCTCCATTCCTTCTCCGGTACCCAGCCCAATTTGAAGCATCTGTAGCCAGTGAGGCTGGTACAGATTCTGCAGCCAAGGAAAGCAGATGGTTTTCAAGCACTGATTAATCACTGTTCTTCCCTCACTTAGGTATCCAGCTGTGGTCCACTTTCTCCTCCCTGGCATGGAGTCATCTCTGCTGGTTTCTTTTCTTCCTGGCAAAATGTCAGAAGCACTCCTGTCTTACTAATCTCTTCTGGTCATCAGCTCTAAGTGTGGTGGTTAGCATTGCTTTTTAGCTTATCTGAAAGCCACCGTTAGGCTATAACCCTCACATGTTATGGAATGAAGTCAGTCTGTCCTTGTCTGGTCCCCTGACCTCTGCTTGCACGGCGTGATACTTTGGAAGCAGAAAGTCAAAAGAAAGGAAATGTCCATGAGTCAAAGAAGTCTCTTCCTGCGTGTCTTCTGGAGTTAAAACCAGGAGAGCAATCACCTTTGGGTTTTTAGCTCCCTGTTTGACCTTATTTCAAAGTCACATGGCACATCAGAAACCAAAATGAGGTCATCAGTGCTGAAGCTTTAGAGTCTGGCAAATGGTTGGCCAAATCTGATAGCCCTGAAATGGTCCATCCTGCCCCATGCTTGGGGGATTTAGCAACTTCTCCTAATCCCCTCTTTTCTCTATGTAGGGGTTCTGAGTCAGAGATATACTGTACATCAGGATCTCCCTGGGAACTTTGTCAAGAGACACATGTCCAGACTCTACCCTGAGAGATTATTTGAGCCAAGGCATTTATGTTTGGAAACAGCACTCCAGGGGATTTGGGTTAAGAAGCATAGCTCTGTAGAAATCTCTCTAAAGTGAAAGAGGCAACACAAGATAATAATTATTTAAAAATAAAATCTCGGGATACCTGAGTGTTGGTCTTAGGCCAGGCTAAGTTGCTTTTTTTTTTTTTTTAAATTAATAGGGAGACCATACAATTTATCATCCACATTCGGACATATTTGAGATGAAAAGAGAGCTATTAATAACTATGTCAGGATAAAATGTGTACATTGAGACTGCCCAGACAAAACAGTCGCCCTACTTATTAGTCAAATGAGAGATTGAAGTGGAGAACTCTGAGGTCCATGGTAGATTTATGATTCTATAATTTATGACAACTGGGACAAATATGTCAAAATATGTTCTCATTCCAAGCGCAGGCAGGACAGAGTTGTTGAAGCAGTGTCTACACTGAGGGAGGCTGGAATGGGAAACATACCCAGCTCAGAGGCTGGGACCCGATGACACGTGAGGTGAAGAGGACAGGCAGACGAGCAACAGATCTGGAAGGGTGGCCTCACAGTCAGGATCCATCAGAGGCAGCTGCTGTTGTCATTGGAACCCAAGGATAAACATGAATGTTATTTGAGGACTGTTGACATTTGCCATACTTCTGGATCATATTGTGAGATGATTCTCCGAGACATTTACACACATTTCTGCATTGCCTTCCAATATGTTACACAAAGAATTTGTACAGCTATTTCCTGTACAAAAATGCTCTCTGCCATGTGGCACCATTAGAGGAAAAGGGCATTTAGGTTAATCTGCTATTCTAGTTAATTATAAGTTAGTGTACAAATTATACCATATACAAATTTCCAATTTTCTAGAGCTCAAAGTGTAGTAAACTACCAAAAATGCCACCCAAACTCTAATCATTTTATCTGGCATGTTTTGGAAAGCACTTTGGGGCTCTGTATGGTCATCGTGAAGAACAGGTCACGCTGCAGCTGTGACAGGTCAGCCTAATAGAATCCGAGGTATCGACAAGTTTTGATGAGCACAGAAGAGTTAAGTTTGGTGCACTTTGGTTTTTAGGACTTTTTTCCTACTGAATTTCTTACGTTGGTACTTATCAAGTACACATTAGTGGAAATCTTTGGGGTGGGGCATCAGAAACAAATAGAAAGATGAAGAGAGATACAAAGAAGAGACGGTGTATGTGAGCAAAGCTAGATGTATGTGTATACATGCACCCACATGAGTGAGTCTCTGGGGAAAGAATGGTAAATCCTAAGTTAGAATTTATAGTCCAAGCCTTGAAAAGTCTTGTATTGGAACATAAGAGATGAAATGGCTCCCGCAGTTGCCACGGCTACTTTGATGAACACAATCTAGCTCATTTCACGTAGATTTAAGCTCACGCTGTTTGGAAGGAAATTGCTCACTGCAGCTATGCTTTAGGGGTGTCATCAGAAGGTCTGGCATTGATGGAAAGCTTCTCCCCACTGCTCTAGGAGGCAGCCGGCAGATTGTGAACAGCTCTGTCCCCACAACCGTGGCAGTGTCATCTGCTTGTCAGAGTCCGTGCCCTGCATGCGTTTGGGATGTGCACACGCTCAGCCCAGGATTAGAATTCTCCTGGCTGCAAAATGGTTTTGCTTCTTGCTGATTCTTACCTTTGGCAGAGAACAGCAGCATAGCAAGGAGAAATTGCTATTGTCAGGCTAGGAGTCATTTTCAAAGAGCCTTGGAGAGAGGGTCTGTCCCTCAGGGATGCAGGGGGAGAAGGTAGCCAAGAGGTTGCCACCTGGCTCATCAGGAGACATGGGGTGATGTGGCTGGAATGGCTAGCATGGGGCTGGGATCTCCAGGAAGAGCTTTGAAAACAAATAACAAACACTTGCTCTCATCCAAAAAATGCTGTGTGTACTTCTCATCCCTGCACAACAGGAAGGACATAATGGAACTGTGGAAGGCCCAGGGGATGGGCCAATGGAATGATGGGAGGAATGGAGGACTGGGAATATTGGCAATGTTGGGATCTTCTGTCTAGAACAGCAGAGGATGGGAAGAGATGGGACAGATCTCTGAAACAAAGAAAGGGTAAGATTGGAGAACATGGGCGTGGTCATGAGATTCCTGGATACCAAACACTTGAAAGTTTAAAAAAGTCATTTTAGCAAGGAAAAAAAAAGAAGCATACATAGTGAACAGTAAATTTAGGAAACTCGTAGATGAACCCACTGAATACCCTTAGAGATGATACATGTCAAAAATAGGAATACAGGAAAGAAGGGTGTAGACAGATCTGTCTACACTGCACTGGACTGGCTTCATCCACTCATAGCCCTTGCTGGGGGAAATGACCCTTCCCAGGGTCCTCCTGCCTACCTACCTTGGCTTCGGTTTGCTGCTCCCAGGCCCCATGGCCAATTGGACTGGGCAGGGGCACCATCCAAAGGTAGCCAACTCTACCCTGATTGTGGATTCTTTTTATTCCATTCAACCCTGCATGGTGCTGTCAGACTACTCTCCCTCAGATCCCATTTTTGTCATACTTTGTTGTGCTCTAGATCCTGAAAGAGCTACACCACAGACAGTTGCATGACATAAGAAGAGAAAATACAAGACTGGTATGGTCAGTAACTGGGACAGGGTAGGGCTCAACCCTGCTAAGAGTTAACTCTTCATGACAAAGACCATGTGCCACACACTCTACTACATGCTTTCCATACATTATCACATTTAATTCCCATAACCCAATGAGGCAGAAGCTATTCTTAATTCCATCTCACAGAAGAGTAAATTAAGTTGAGAGAGATTAATAACTTGACCCCGAACAGCTAAGATTGGAACTCAAGTCAATCCAACTCCTTAGCCCAAGGATTAGCTTCTGCTCTCTCCTGACTTCTAACAACTTCTGGCCTTTCTCCTCCTTCTGCTGTCCTCTCCTCTTTGTTCCTGTTCTCTCCAGTCATTCTCACCCTTTTATCCTCCATCAGACTCCTCTGGCTGGCTTTGGAGATCCTCAGCATCATTTGTGATACCTTCAGTAAAGCAATAGAAAACAACTCAAAATAACTTAAACGATAAAGGTGATTGATGGATTGTTTTCCCCCTTACATAGCAGGAAGGCTGGAGGTGAAGAAAATACAGTGCTTCTCTGTTAACAATTCAGCATCAATATCAAGGTTCTTTGTGTCTTTCTCCTCTGCCATCCTTTGCCTGTTGGCCAACTCCCCTCAAGCTCACAAGATGGCTACAGCAGCTCCAGCTATCACATCCTTAGACACCAATGTCCAGAGAAAACAAAAAGACTGCTCCTTTCTTGTGTGTCCTGTGTGTTTCTTTAAAAGAATAAAGAAATCTTCTCAGAAGCTCCTCAGCAGACTTTTCCTCATATTTCATTGGCCAGAATTCAGTCACATGGCCATGGTGAGCCAATCACTGGTAAGGAAAATGGGATAACTCTTACTGCTTAGACCAATCATAATATATAATGTACATGAGTCAACAAGGGGATAAGTGAATGGAAGAACAGAAACCAGAATTCTGACAACGTAAAAGAAGGTGGAAGTCATTGTTAGGTAGGCAGCTGTACTTATTTTCTACTATTCCCAGCAAAACTCTTCTGCTTCAATTAGCATCCTCCCACAAGCCTCATTCATTCTTGCCTCATTACTTTCTGATACTCTCATTTCCTCCCAAGATAGCCTCTACCCATCCAATATACCCAAGATCCAGCCTGAATCTCTTCATAACTGTTTCCTGGACAATTTAATCCTTACTAACTTGTTCTTCCTCTGAACTTTCTTATATTTACTATTAGTATCTTATAATGTAGCTATAAGTTATCATGAAATTGTCAGGATTTGATCCTGTTTATTTTTAAAATAACACATTTTGAGAAAAACTTCACTGGGACAGAAATTAATTTAGATGACTTTTTAAAAGACTTTCTACTCTAATATTTTATGATTCTACAATTCTACAACAGCTTAGACTCTCCTCTGAGGTGGTTTACTTATTAAGCATAAGGTCAAAGTCTATGTGTCTTTATGTGTCCAACCACATATAACATGGTGATTGATGCATTTTTGGAATTCAGTAAATAATCATTGACTTACTGGTTGATGGCTGCTATGAACACCATAACCACCACTAACTTACTGCTCAATAGAGTCTCATTGGCTTTGGGCATGAACTCTCCTAACTAGATCCAAGCAGGTGGTTGGTAATTTGCCTCCCTGCCATTTATGGTTCTGTATCTTAGTATCTACCCTAGAATATCGGTAATTTGCCCAACAGAGCTTGGAGACCTGGTGAAAGTTGTAACAGCCAAGTGGGCAGGTGTACAGAGCAAGGAAAAGAACGTGTTCTGGAAGTTGGCTCAATAAATGCCCACTAGAAACAGCCAGAATAGATCATGATAGAGAATTATGGGGTGAGGGCACATAAGAAGGTCCTAAGGTCACTCAAGATTCACCATAGAGAGTGGAGGATTCCACCTGAGGATGTCTCAGAACATGGAGGGTTAGGCATATTTGATACATGCCATGCCATTGTAATGTTCCAATGTGTCCATATCTTTTGGCTGGTACAGTGAGAAAGCATTGCAGGGAGCACAAGATATAAATATTGGGAAACATCAGCCTGGTGAAGATGTCCCTCATCTTTCTCCCAAGGCTCCTAGCAATAACCCATCCTGACACTTGCCATACTTCATAGTAATAGTCTATTTGTCTGACTTTGCCCCTAGATTGGGAGCTCTGTGATGGTGGAAGACATTTGTCATTCATCCACGCATCCTCTGTGTCTGTTGGATGAATAGACCAAGTGTCCACCTAGCTTTACCCAAGATATGTGGCTGTCACTGAGTCCTCCATACATTCTATCTGCTCTTCCTGGGGCACTTAGCACCCTTCCTGGAGCTTCTCTTCTTCTTTGTCTTCACATACAGAAGCAACCTCAAAGAAGATCTGACAAGTCCTTAGAGAACATGGAAGTCCACCCATTTCAAAGATGAGGAAACCAAGGTCCAGACCAGGAAAGGAAAGTTAAGCCCAAGGTGAGGAATAGATTCCCAGCACATCTCCAGGGAGAGCTCAGATCCCCTTGACATCATCGCTCTGGTTGCTAGGCAGCTCTGCCTCAGATTTTCAAAGCTTGTGAAGTTCTAAAATAGACTACTTTAATTGGTTTGCTCATTTTTAGCTTTGATGGTGGGTGGAGCTGAAAAGGGGTGAGTGACATACTTCAGCAATACGCTTATTGATAAACTTTGGTTTCCCACATGACATTTGGAAAGAGACATGGCTAGTGAGGTGGGAGTATGGAGTGAGGCAGGAAGGGGAGACTCATGGGAAAAGAGGACTGGTGTGGGCCTGTCAGGGACTTTGTCCCTCTTCATGTGTCATTTGGGTCAGCTCCATAGCCTGGCATTTAATGTCCCTCCTGATCTTTGCCCTACCTGCTTTGCTGGCCACATTTTTCCTAAATAACAATAATTATAGCACATTGTATTTGTGTGGCAGTTCAGCATTTTCAAATAACTTTCCCATCACTATAAATCTGATCCTTACAAACACTGCAGGGGGAAGTGAGGGTGGTCCAGAGAGAAAGATCTTGATGAAGGTCAAGGTCAGTACAGACCCCCCTGTAAGCTGTCTCTTCCAGCTCATCTGCTGCTCTTCCCATAAGCCCTGGCGTCTCTGCACACCTCATTCACACACTCTTGTGTCTTGGCCTCCATTCCAAATGAACAGCTGGGTGAGTCCATCCTCGACTGATAATTCAAGTCTGTAAAATCTTCTCTCAGTCCTGACAACTGTGGCCTGCCCAGGTGGCCCCACCTTGTGATGGGCTGTCTTCCATTACTAGATAACTTTGCTGTGTTCATGTCTGTCTCTCTTGAGCATGTGGATTTACCCACAGAGCCTTGCACCCGGGGCTTGGCCACTGTCAGAACTGGTTGGTGGCTAACTCCTCCCCCAGGGCTGTGACAAGGAGCCTGAGCCAGGCTGCCATGTGAAGACCAGGTGTGCGTGGTAGAACCCAGCTAGCATCAAAGACAGCCCCTGCTGCCCTATATCTAAGGAAACCATACCTGAGACTGGGACCTCACCTGTTATTAATATTTTCTACTAACAGCACCATTTCCCATTAATATTTGAAAGGTAATTGATTGCAGCTCAGGGTATAGCTGGAGGCATTATGACAAGAGGAAGTGACTTCATAAGGCTCCCACAGAGCTGTCACAAAGGCAAATGAAAGTCCCTCCAGCTACCTGGAGACCAGTCTGGTGATTAGATCAGAGATCAGGCGGCTATTTGATGAGTCATTGGGTCTTCAGAGGAAAGGCCATGCTTGTATTAGCATTGGCTTGCCAAAGATAAAACACAATTTAAAAAACATATAATTTAAAAAGTGTCAAATCAAAGGTTGAGATACTTTATAAACTTTGAACCATGCCAAAAGAAATGCCTGGTCGTTTATCACATCTAGAGAATAGTTTAGAGAAGAATCTATGAATTTTTCATATTTTATTATTGTTAATCCACTGATATAATCATTTATTTATTTATTTACGCAACTATGATGTTTTTCAGCATTTTCTCTGGGCTAGACACTGCTCAAAGGTTTAAGATAAAACGTTAGGGGGGGCTATACTTGTCTATAAGCAACTCTTGTCCTAATGAATTATTCTTCTGTGATGAGCAAGAGATTATTTCCATTTTATTAATACAAAAGAAGAAACAAAATTGCAGACAGACTTGCTGAATTTCCCATGTCCTGTCTCAAATATTTAATGAAGCCTTTAAATCATTGCAGTGAGAATTCTATCGTTCTTCAAACTTTGACAACTGTCCCCAGAGATCTATAACCTATCAAGTAAATGATTAGTTCTGAACTTGACACCTCTATTCTCACTCCCTGAATTACAGGAGATCTCGAAGCCCAGAAAAAAATCAAGGGCTTGAATTCAGGTCTGCACATCTTCAGAGTTGAAGATGATATGGCCAAACTCTATTGCCTCCTCCAGTGACATGAGGGGCAAGACCAGAGCCTCCCAGATTTATGTGAACAAGCCATTTTCTGTAAAGTCAAGGAACACTTTCCTGGCACCAGTAGAGCTAATATTAGGGTCAGGAATCTTCCTGAAGAATCTGGCAGAGATTCAATTCTGGAGTGCTGGGTAGCTTGTTTGGAGGTTTCATAAGACTAAATTTATTCCTGCCTCATGCTTAATTGGAGCATTCATTTCCCCCCCTCTGGCTCCCGGATCTGAAAGAAACATCTATTACTCACATAGAGGAACAAAAAGACAACTGGTCCAATTCGTTAACTGTGTCTTGTTCTGTGAACAATAACAGGAGAATTTAACCCTTGAATAGAGAAGGAAATCTCAGCCCTGGCCCTTCTGTTAGGGGTGCTGCATCCGTACACAGGAAGGGATGGAGCTATCTCTTTAAAGCATGACTATGTTGATTTATAAATGGGCTTTGTCCATTTCGCTTCCTGCACATTGACTCTGCGGAGCCTGCGTGTAATTACTCCGGTTTGGTTCCTTGCAAGCGCTATTTTTCCACTCGTAGGTGGAAGACAGGAAGCCAAGCGGACTCTGCATTCTCCACTGACGACTTATTACAGAGCTGAATGATGCGATCGCTTCGAATGTTGTGTGCCTGATAGATTTGTCCTTTTCTTGTCTTCAAGAATTCACATATAAATGTTTTGGAGGATTGCTAATGTCATGCCAATGAATCTCTTCAAGAGTTCTTCTTTTGGGGAATAAATAGCTATAGTTTCCTCTTGCCTTGACATTGTTCATTTTTCCTGTTGGCATTGCATGGAATAAATGGGCAACGTTTCTCTTCGACTTCCCTTATGCACACACAAATCACACACACACACACAGACACGAAATTCTGGTTGAGAATTGTTTGCCCTCTAGCCTACTTTTTAAGGAGTTTTTTTTTTTCTTTCTTTCTTTTTTTTTTTTAATCTAAGGATAGGCATTTAATTTTTGAAAACCTCACCTGTCTATTAACTCTCCTCAATGCATTCTTTTCAGATAATGACAAGGCTGGAAGTACAAAGGCTTTTTTGTCTTAGCTCAGTGCTGGGCATAAAACAGGCATTCAAACTATTGGTTAATGGAGTCCCCTTGTCTGGAAAAAACTCTCCCTAAGCCTTGTGCAATAAGATGTCTAATTCCCTAAAGGACAGGAGATACCACAGTGATTTGGGAAAAAGTGTTAAAAATGAGGGATCACTTATCAACAGGCAGAAGGCAATTCTAGTCCTAGTTCTGATATTTACCAACATTGTAACCTTGAATGAGTTGCTTAAATTTTCTGAGTTGCCATGTCTTCATCTGTAAAATGGGGATAATATTACTGCTCAAGTTGGAGAACTACCGTAAGAATCAAATGGTACAACTGTGTAAAGCACTCAGCCTGGCACGTAGAAAACACTCAATCATTGAGCTCTTGTTGTTTCTCTTATAATTATTAGAGCAACACAGAGGCCTTATGGTGGGATAGAAAGATTATTGATTTAGGAGCAAGGAACCTGGGAACCTGCATTTAAAGTACCCTTTAGGCCGGGCACAGTGGCTCACGCCTGTAATCCTAGCACTCTGGGAGGCCGAGCTGGGAGGATTGCTCGAGGTCAGGAGTTCGAAACCAGCCTGAGCAAGAGCGAGACCCCGTCTCTTCTATAAATAGAAAAAAATTAATTGGCCAACTAACATATATAGAAAAACTTAGCCGGGCATGGTGGTGCATGCCTGTAGTCCCAGCTACTCGGGAGGCTGAGGCAGGAGGATTGCATGGCCCGGGTTGAGGTTCTGTGAGCTAGGCTGACGCCACGGCACTCACTCTAGCCTGGGCAACAAAGCGAGACTCTGTCTCAAAAAAATAAATAAATAAAATAAAGTACCTTTAGAAGGTAGCTGTGCCTATTTTGGATGTCACATATGATTTCTTACTCTGACGCTACTTAAATGGCAGTAACTACAACACATCTCTCTCCTCACTAAGATTCAAGAATAAAAAGTGGAAGTTGAAGTTTGATGAAGAGTGTTTCCATTTAATTTATGAAGTAGGACAACATTTATGGGCTTTTCTTAAAACGCTTGAGGCCGAGTTGGAGAAGAGCTAATAGGAACATTTTCCTGAGCAGCAAGAGTTCAGCAAGCTTCACTGAAAGACGCTTGGACCATCTTTCTCTTTTAAAAGGCTTTTTGTGAGGAGCCTCAGATGAGCCACAAAACAACTAGATCCATCATGTTGACAGTGTGGTTTTGCAAGGCCCTGGAGCCCTTACTGTAGCCTAAGGGCAATCTCTACTTATCTGCGACAATGTCATAGAAAAAGAGAAGATAAAAGCACTTTCATAGAGTTCCAGTTTCTTATTAGATCCGTAGTGGAACGTCTCAAACAACTTCCAGAGAAAAGGATAATAGAACATTTCAATGTTTCCATGATGATTTTCCTCCATTCCCTTATCAAGTCTGTCACTTATTTTTACCTAAGGGCATGTATACTGAGTACCACTATTTCCAACCTCATCTTCTACTTGATCGTATGACGTATATATCGTTTTCATGAATTGACCAGCTTCCATATTCATTCGTTGTAATATTCTTCAACAGTGAGTTTTCTATATGCCATAAAACTAGAATTATAGAAGGATATAGTTGCAGAGATCTTTGAGCTATATCTATTAAGAGCCAACTTTCATCAGACTCTTACTATGCACAAGGCACTGTGCCAAGTGCTTATATTTTTATTTCATTTAATCATCCTAATAATCCTATGAGGATCATCCTACCAATCTCTCTGTTTTGCAGATGAGGTTGAGGCATAACGAGGTTAAATTACTTGTGGGAGTCTTGCAGCTAAGTAGGGTTTAAAAAAAACCTACAGTTACCCTGTGCTATGTGCTAGTACTATGGTGGTCCTTATTTTCAGATGAGGATGCTGGACTCTCAAAAGGTAATGTGAGGAGGGGCGTTGTGGCTCCACCTGTAATGCTAGCTTCTGGGAGGCGCAGGTGGCGGATGCTCGAGGTTGGAGTTCGAAAACCAGCCTGAGCGAGACCCTGTCATCTACTAAAAATAGAAACGAAATTATGGACCACTAAAAATATATATACAAAAAATTAGCCGGGCATGGTGGCGCATGCCTGTAGTCCCAGCTACTTGGGAGGCTGAGGCAGGAGGATCGCTTGAGCCCAGGAGATTGAGGTTGCTGTAAGCTAGACTGATGCCATGGCACTCACTCTAGGCAGGGCAACAAAAGTGAGACTCTTTTTTTTTTGAGACAAAGAGTAATGTGAGTTTCCTAAGAGCCATCCTGTTAGTTAGTGGCTGTCAGGGCTGGAGCCCCGTTCTCTGGACTTGCAGGCCCCTGCCCTTTCCACTACACACTTCACTCTACTCTCACTATGAGAAGTAGAGCCCCTATATTCTTTTAGAACTCTCCTCCTCCCACCCCCGCCCCGTGTTTGCAGAATTCACAGTGAGTATCTTTATATAATTGCAAATTAAATTTTTATGTAGACTACTTTTACATGACACAGTTCCTATTTTTCCATTCCTGCTCATCTAGCTCTATTTTCTGGGGGCAATTGAAATTTTCCGAATTTTTAGCTTCCAAAAGTTCACTTTGAATCCATGAGAACTTTTCTGGATTCTTCACATAATGGCTCTAGTCACCAGGTTCTCCCGGGACAAGAGAACTGTCCACTCCAGTTGCTCAGTTATTAGGCCTTTGTCTCTTTAGAAAGCAGAATAAAATCCACACACTACCCTCTCATAATAGAACCTAAGTGAAGACAATGATCAGATAAGAAATGTACCCCTATTCAAATTAAGTTTTATTTAACTTACTTTCAGCCTGTTCCTTCTATTAATAGCTAGATCTCTGGCAGATCCTTCAACAAATGGTTTCAATCTCTATCACACACCTGTCAAAACCTCATATGGTCTTGTCAGATCAGGGTGTCTCTGTTTGGACCCCAAGAGGAGAGTGATGGATGAAAGCTGCTACTTGTGTGTGGCACTGTTTATTTACTTTCTGGATGAATTCATATTACAAGAAGATTCTGGAAGGGTTGTTATCCCTGCAATCTCGTTTATTGCTCTGGGCACTTGATACGTTCTATACCTTAGATCAGGGGTCCTCAAACTTTTTAAACAGGGGGCCCAATTCACTGTCCCTCAGACCATTGGAGGGCCGGACTATAGTTTAAAAAAAACTATGAACAAATTCCTGTGCAAACAGCACATATCTTATTTTGAAGTAAAAAAACAAACAGGCAAAAACACTTACATGTGGCCTGAGGGCCGTAGTTTGAGGACGCCTGCCTTAGATAATGTTAATATTCTTTTGGGAGCTGAGCCTGGTATTCACAGAAAGCTATAAGATATAATTTATTTCTCCCCACTTGCCTTTGAAATATTAATTCTATTGAAAAATGATTAAATAGATTATGTAAATCATGGGCATTGCACCCACTTTAAAGGTCAATCCTGCCATCATCTAGCCAGATAATTAATTCGAATTCCTTTCCAAGCCCTGATTCTCAGGCAAGTCAAGGTGTAATGGGCTGCGGTACCCCATCCCGGAGGTCACTGAATGCCGGCCAGTGATAAAATTTGGAAGAAACAAATCTCGAAGCTTGGAGAACAAAAGTTCCTTCAGGCCACCAGGGGCCCAATGCATCATGGGATTAGAGCCACCCTTTCTCCAGAATTTTAGGAGATGGGTTTTACTGACATAGCCTCCACATCTTTGAGTTTTCTCAAGTGTCACTTCTCTTTTTGGAAAGTCAGGATGTGGTTTGGTTTCAAAGGATTCTGGAAGAGTCCTGATGGTTCAAACAGAAAACTTAACCCACTTTCCAAAAATTGTAGGCCAGGAGGGACCAACTTAGATGTTTGTACAGCTTTCTCTGTCCAATGCCACACTCCACACTTGGGCACACCCACTGACTTGTCACCCCCCTCCTCCTCCAAGGGCAGGCAGCTGCCAGCCAGGTAACTCTCTCCTGAGCTGATGGAAGATTCCCCCTTACCTGCTGACCTGGAGAACCTTCTTCGTTGTTTTCTGCTCTTCCTTGGTTCGCTCTCCTCAATCAGGGGTGGGGCTGGGAGCTGTGGCATTTGAAGCTTATTCAGTTTTGTGAGCCTCCTTTAAGAAAAAGAACATAAAAAGAGAAATTTCTAATTAGATGCAAAATGAATATGCATTTAGAATGTGAAAAGAATCCAGAGTCATACATTTTAAAAAGCTAACACTATAAATATCACGAAAGCCATAAAATGACAATACTTTACTTTTAATTTCCTGACACACCTTTATAATACATTATTCCTAATTTTTTGACTGCGTACTCTTTGGTTGCTTCTTCCTATGACAATGATTTTGTGACATCATTTTCTATAGAGTGAACAGGAAGATGATTTAGTCTTTCCGCTAGCATAGATCATCAGAATTTATTTTTGATAGGTTGAATAAACTCGATACACAGACATACTTGCTACTTTTAACACATTGACTGCCACACTAGAAAAAAAATTTTTTTTCCTTGGGACCACGGTGTTTTATTACAAAAATAGAATAAAAACTTTGAAAACAAAATGATCCTTTCTAATTTAATGAAAAATGTGTTATTTTTTTATTGTTTTCTGTACATGAGTTATATTCAACTTGAAAAACAGTTCTTGTGGCTCCCAAAGTGAAGAGATGTGTGAGTTATATGCTTCATGAGGCCCTGGGCTCAAAATTAGCGTGAGTTAAATACAACTCACATGGCAGCTAACATGTTAAACACTGCTTTGGATTTGGGCCCTACCAACATAGGCATTCTGATAAATTTCATTTCATGTAATATCCATGAAAAAAAAAAATTGGCCAGCCATGGTGGCTCACACCTGTAATCCCAGTGCTTAGTGAGGCTGAGGCAGGAAGATTGCTTAAGGGCAGGAGTTCAAGACTAGCCTGGGCAGCATAGCCAGACCCCATATCTATGAAAAAATTAAAAAATTAGCTGGTCGCGGCACACACTTGTAGTCCCAGCTACTCAGGAGGCTGAAGCAGGAGGATTTCTTGAGCCCAGGATTTTGAGGCTGCAGTGAGCTAGGATTACACTACTGCGCTCCAGTCTGAGGGACAGAGCAAGACCCTGTCTCTCAAAAAGAAAAAAAGATATCTTTAAGGTGAGTTTATAGTTGTATATCTTGCATTATTGAGTATCTTCCTGACAAGAGAAAGCTTCAACTTTAACTAGGCATTGATGTGTGAACCAAAGTATTCTCTGCTTCAATTTTACTCTTGTAATGATTGGAATTTTCCTAGACTAGCTTGGCCCCAAACATTTGAGAGATTATTTCTTTTTCACTATCCAGTTACTTTCCTGCCAGTCATTGGAGAATTGATACATATCTGCATGTGACCTGTGGCCATGCTTCTTTGTGTTGTGATGCTGGGTAAGTCCGCACAGGCAATGGCAGGCATAGTTCTAGAAGCATCCCTCCCTTGGAATGAATGTGCACGAAATGATTAAAAACCATATGAATATATCCCATTAAACCCAGACTAAATGTATCCCCAACTGAAATTCCCCTTAGCCAGATCCCCCAACACCCTAAGAACATTCCAGAGCCACTTGATAAATGGGGAAGAATGGAGAAGAAGATGGAATAAAAGAGTCATCAACCTTAACTCATTTCAGCTAAAACATCTTTTCCCGCCAAATTTTGCCCATCATATGATCATAACAGATACATTGTCAGTTGCCCTTTGTAAACCCTTGGAAAGTGGCCTTTGGGAGGGACCTTTAAACTTCACCTTCATAGTGTATCTGCCTCTGTTTCCCCATGGCGTCTGATGGTTTCCTATCTTCTTTCTCCTGTGGGCTCCTCATCCTACTCATCAAACATTTAGCCCTGAATTATTAATACATCGTTGCCTGCTTGAACTCATTTCTTTTTGACTTGTCTCTTGGATTCTTTCTCCCATCCCATCTGGGAAACTTTCATTCTCGCCAATGATCCAGAGCTTTCAAAGCACCCCTCAAACCTTTCGCTGTTTCCAGAAGCAGACATCTGTCACTTATATTCTTAGCATCTAGGATTTATGAATATCTCAGGCAGGTGACTACAGCCCAGACCCTGTCTGCTGGGCACTGGAATGTTCCTCCAGGGCTTTATCTCCTAGGGGCCTCTGGTTTTTAGTCCCAAGAAATTGCTATGGCACATGCCATTCAGGCTCCTGAGTATGTGGGGGTCCCGGGAAGGCTCCCTTAAGCCTGCCTGTCCCAATTCATTAGTTGCCATCCACCTATGAGGGTATTCAGCAAAAAAACACTGAATTTTCCAAATGGCTCCACCCAAACTCCTTAATGGGCAACAAGAGAGAACGAGAACTTCACGTAGAATATTCTAAACTATACTCTTCTATCTGCCTTTTTGCCTTAAGAGATCATTTCTTTCCTCCTGGATTTTCTTGTCTTCAGGTTCATTATGTTTTACCAATCTCTTCAAAATTGCCATGAATCTAGGGGGACCTAGAGCATAGTGCAAAGAGCATAACTTAGCAGTGAGGTAGACTTGAAAACTCCAGTCATTCATTTATGGGCTGTGTGTCCTTGGGTAAACTGCTTAGCATCTCTGAGCCTTGACATCCTTGTCAATATCATTGAAATAACAACAGCTTTGAGAATTGCACATGATGCCTGCTAATTTCATAAAACACTGCCTGATGGTTAAGAGTTGGTCACTTAAAGGTGATGAAGGTGGTGATGATGCTAATGTGTCAGTGCTCCTTGGGGGGTGACACTATTCTCAGGTTGTCCCTTTCTCTAACTAACTTTTCCAGGCAGGCCCACACACCCCAACATTGACCACCCCTCTCTTCGCTCTCATTGTCATGAAGAGCATAGCATATATTTCTGCTCCTGTGTGTATAAAGACGGGAACCATATATATCTATTTTTGGGAACTCTAAAAACATTTCGGGGTCTGCTGGACAGGGTCCTGTCACTTCAGCCACAAAGTGCTGCAGAGCCTGTCTGTCTAGAATAAATATTCATTTCCCGTAGTTTTCAAAGTTGATAGGATTGGGAGCAGGCCTGCCGGTGACAGCACAAACATCAGCATTGTCTGCTGGGTGAGGCGGCAGAATGTTCTGCACATCTCGTCTCCCAGGAAATGTTCCAAGGATTCAAATGCAAATGAGACCAGAGCCAGCCTGTCCTTATTTGCATTTGTTCTCAGTGAACCTGATTTTCCCCTCGTAAATTTACATTATGTGCAGATACAGATACCGAAATGATTGGGCCAAAGTTATTTTTTTCCTTTTTCATTCTGTCCATATTACCGGCTTTTGCAAATCCTTCCTCCCAAACCTCATTCTTTCACCATATCGTTTAGTTTTATCCTCATTGCCAAAGTCCCCCTCAACTGTGCTCCCAGCCACTCTGGGCCCCACTGGGTGTCCCAGCTCACTCGGGTGCTTCTCAGTCTCCCGTGGGTGGTCGCAGCTGTTCACCCGGGTTCTTCCGCCACCCTGACCTGTGGCAGAATTTTGCAGGTTCTGCAAAAAGCACGTGGGAGGCAACCAACAGTGGACTGGTGGAGGAGGGAAGCCGGATATGCCCAGAGTCAGATGCCAGACTAGGAAAATGTTAAAGTGAAAAAGGCACCAAAAAATTCAGGCAGAAAAAAACACATATCTATATCTATAAACACATTTTTTGGTTTAGTTTGAAATAGTTTAATGGCAGATGGTGATTTTCTGGGGGTGCAGTTAGTGATTGGGTTTTGCCTTCCCATCAATGTGTTGTTGGTGTGAAAAAGGATATAAGAGAGGCTTTGATATACGGAAGTGGAGGTTCCATGGGGCTCATCATTGCCTGAATCTTCGTGCTCATAAGAAGAGGCTTGGTCTCTCCCAGCACTGTGGAAATTCACATCTCGAGAATCAGGCCAAAAGGACTAGAATTTCTGGGAGTATGTCTCATGCCAGGAAGCTTTAATTAAAGAAGGGGAAGTATAGATTTGCTTAAAGAAAGACCTCTGTTAAAGATCTATTTTTGACCTTAATGAATATGCTATTACTTAAAATGTCTTTTGGGTAAGACCCAAGAACTCACCATGTGATTGCCATCGTCTATGTTTAACCTAGGAACATGATACAAACTGCCTTAAATAGAAAACTTGTTAACTTTAAAGAGGATTCTTCTCTTGGTAAAATAATGTTCAGAACACTTAACTTTCAATTTGCCTTAATTAGTTTTAAACACACATACGTTTTCAAACACAAAAATGACACTATGCCCCAGGGGTTCCTGGGAGGGGGTTGAGGAAGGGGGTCCTGGTTCCTCAGATGTCATGTCTGACTTGCAGCAAGTCTTGAAGGCATATCCACCAATCAACTGTTTAACAAAACCTCAACTCCTCCTTCTCCCCATTTTCCTTCTTAATCTACCTTCTAAGTATAATTCAATCACAGGTTTGAATTTAGTGAAATCACTACCACCACCTTAGAGAACAGTATCTATTCCTGGTTAGCTAAATTATTTGGAGGCGAATTGAACACTTAGAAAAGTGGCTCACATCCGTGTCTGCACATTAGCGTTACTTGGGGAGCTTTTAAAAAAATGCCAATATCCTGGTTCCACTCCCAGAGGTTTTGTTTTAATGGGGATGGGAAGGAAGGCAGCAGCTATTAGTATTTTTTAAAGGTCTGCACAATTTTAACCTGCAGTCAAGGTTAAGAGTTACTGATTTAGAGGCTGAAAATAATCGAACCAACAGTGCAAAAGCAGCTCACCAGGAAGACGGTGGTTTCACGGGAAGAGCACAGGATTAAGAGTTGAGGGGCTTAATCCTGTCTCTCCTCTTTGTTCACTGTTTGGACTCGATCAAGTTCATGGCCTCTCTGTGCATCATTCCCTCACTGGTAAAACTGGGATAATTATGCTCATCTCGCAGGGTTATTTTGAGGGGAAAAAGCATCTAGCACATGAGGGAACCTCTGCAGCAAGAACTACTGTTAATGTGGCTTTAACTCTGCCTGGAAAAACCATTTTCTCCCCTGTTTCCTGTATTTGCCTCTACTGTGCCAATTGGAATCCAAATCTGCACTATTCCTGGAGACCCTGAATTTTCTGAATGGGCACAGATGGCCCTAAAAGCGAAACTGAGGTTGCAGAGTCTTGGGGTTGCAAATACCTGTTACTTCCAAAGCTTTGCTGAGAACCCCTGAAGCAGCATGGCCCAGTGAAATGAGTCCACAGGCCTGAGTCCAGCTTTCTTACAAACTAGCTGCGCGACTATCTCTGTTACTATGTAAAAGTTATTAACTAGCTCTGGCCCCTCAATTTCTTAATCGGTAAAATGGCATTAGGCTCACTCAATTTTCCTTCAATAATAGTAGTCTATGAGCTTTAAAGAGCCTGTCTGACCCCAACCAGACAAGCCTGCAAATATTTTTACCTGTAACAGGAGAAACAGTGTCCAATGAGCTTCTGCAATAAGCAGGTCCCATGAAGAGCGTGGATAATTTTTCTTCTGAAAAGCCAGTTCCTTGGCAATTAACAGTGGGAAGGGGTTCCATCCTGACTTCTGGCTTGAGGAAAGAGTCCATGAATCTCCCGATCAATCTTGATGGAGAATAAGGTCTCAGGATTGATCTCAGGGTCATAAATGAGACCACACCAGAGCCTCCAGGGAGATGGAGTTGGCGGTTGCCAGGAAAATCTTCTTTATTCAATCCGCAGGACATAGAGAATAAATCGTCCATGCAAGAGTTAGACTGAAATTGTCAGTGCTGACTGCACCTTTAGAAGCTCCCTGGGTCAAGAGTTTTCAGACTGAGCATGCATCAGAATCACCGGCAGAACGTATTAAAGCCCGGGTGCCTGGACCCCATCCCCAGAGCTTGTGATTGAGTGGGTCTGGCATGGAGCCCGAGACTTGGCTTTTCTAACAAGCTCCCACGTGACGCTGGTGATGTTGGTCCCAGGATTGCACTTTTCGAGCCACTGGGTTTTACTCTACAAACATCTGTGTTACTACAAATCACCTGGAGCACCTGTTAAAAATCACAGTTCCCTCCAGTGGAGAGTGTGGTTTAGTAAATTGACAACGAGGCCCAATTTGTTCTTATAATCAGAGGTGGTGAGGAAGTCCTGAGTCAGCCAACTACCCATCAGTTGTGTTGGGATCACTTGGGGAAGCTTTTTAAAAATGCTGATTCCTAAGATCGATTCCCAAGATTCCGATTCTTTTTTTTTTTTTTTCTCGCTTTGTTGCCCAGGCTAGAGTGAGTGCCATGGCGTCAGCCTAGCTCACAGCAACCTCAAACTCCTGGGCTCAAATCTCCTGCCTCAGCCTCCCGAGTAGCTGGACTACAGGCATGCGCCACCATGCCGCTAATTTTTTCTATATATAATAGTTGGCCAATTAATTTCTTCATTTTATAG